ATCATACAGAATATTTCCATCAGTCGCTCTGTTTATTTCTCTTTCTTTCTCACCCCTTCATGTTCCACGCTGGTAACGATCTCTCTCGTTCTCTGAAGGTTTGTATGCTGATGTGTTAGCATTAACATATGCTGCATTCTGGGGAGGTTGCGTTGGCAGACCAGCCAGCTCTGTACGCAGACTAAATTACAGTGTTGTCATGGAATACGGCGTCTAGGTGGAAGAAAGGTCTCGGCTCTGCTGTGACCCCACCTCTGAAACAGATGGAGAGGGACTGGTGCAGTGCCAGTGCTGGTACACACTAGCTGGCACCAAAGCTCTCCACGCTAAGCCATTAGCAGACACGAAGTGAAGGGAACGGGAATGAGGGAGCTGATGGTGTGTTATGGAGGACAAGTGGAGAAAAGTTAGAGAGGAGAGAGAGAGTGAATGGAAAGGTTTATCGTTCTGGGAAAAGCCAGGGACAGATGCACACAACAATCCATCACCGCTCAGACGGGGCTCGAACCCAGCCTGTACCCTGAGAGACCCACTGAAAGAGATGTGAAGGACATACTTCACACAAACTCAGTCAGGCAGCACACGTCGCTCCTAAAACGTGTTCTTAAAAACGCATTGTGTCGAGGCCATCCAACAGGAAAGCCACATTAAATGGAGCGCAAATAGAGGCTTCTTGTGAGAAAAAGACTACAGTAATCACACACGGGCTTTCAAAGGAGGTCAATGAGAAGGCAGAGATCTGAATATGAACTCAAATATTTCTCATTAAATCTTCCAGAACCTGAACATTTACATTTGCACTATGCATTTGCACACACTTACCTAGATCAGCCTTGAGGTTCCTTTTTTTCTTGTGATGCTTTTTACCGTTTACTGCATTTTGGGGCTTGACTTTTGAGGGCCCAAGGTGGTCGCCTACCTTTGCCTATTGGGTAAGTCCACCTCTGCTTTTGGGAAATGTCAATGAATCCACATTCATTATATAGCTTTATACTTGTATGCCAACTGTTATCTCATCTGTGCCTTTTTTAGTTGAGTCTTCTATAGAGAAACATTTCAAAGAAACTTTAAAGATCAGCATTTTCCAACAGGGCCATAACCACCATAGACACCGAAAAGGATATGTCAGTTCTAGTATTCAGAATAGCAGTTAGCCAATGTGTGGTTTTCAGTGTTTTGAATCTTAAATTATTACATTTAGTACCAACAAATCCTAAATATGTGGTTGCATCCTTGGCCAGCAGTCAACAGTGGCACATAACTGGCTCTCTTTAAACAGAAATCATTGCAGAATACAAGACATCATACATCATTTTCAACACCAGATCCCAATTTTCATCTGAGCAAATCAGATGAACTCTATCCAGTATCTGTAGAGCCAAACTGAGCCCACTGGAGTGCTACCAAAAACAGTAAAGCTTGTTTTATTAGAGTACACAGAATAAAGATGAGCAACAAGTGCCACAATTGCTGATTCCTTCAATATTGAAATATCTCACTTTTCTTAAGACACAAATTCAGAGACTTTAGTGTCGATTTCAATGATGACTGACATGATTGATAAATTGGTGAACTAAATTTCATATGTAGTAACAGCTATCCAAACTGAATACAGATTATTTGATTTATATTTGTAGTTCATATACAGTATAGTCTAAGCTACTCTTGGGGGGTTATATGCAGTTTAGTGTAGTTGTGCTTTGGATCTATAGATTTTTTTACTATTTGTAAATTTATAAATGTGATTATTTGGTAGATTAGCTCCCGGCACTGCATATTTTGCATGTCTCCTTTGTCTCACACACCCCTTTTAGGTCTTGGAGTCTCTACTGATTCAACTCTACAGTTGAATCAGGTGTGTTTGATTAAGGAGACACACAGAATGTGCAGTGTTGGGG